AAGAGATTTGCGGACAATGAAGAAGTAATCGAAGCTGTAAATGGTTATTTTGAGGAGCTTGACGAATCAGTCTATAGAGATGGCATTAATAGACTGGAACACCGCTATGAGAAATGTATCAGCCTTGGAGGAGATTATGTTGAGAAAAAAAAAAAAAAAATTTTTAAAAACCTTGTTTTTCTTGGTCAGGCCGGAAACTTATCAATCCACCCTCGTATACAGGTGAATGTAATAGGTGCATCAGGTGCTGAGATCACGCTTTTATTTACATAGTAAATGTAACTTCTTTTCAATCGAAAATCGCGTAAAACAATAATTTTACATAAATATATTTCTTGAAGAAAGGATTCCACGAATGAAATTTTATCGAACAACCAACGTACATTTTAGTGAGTCAAAAGTTACATTAATTTTTTTATTGCCTTATTTGTTTTTATTAATTATTAAATATATACATATTTATTAATGTACGTAAAAAATAAACTCAGAAACTACCAAAAAATCAGTGGCGTGACGTGGGATGCAGGGGAAGATCATGGGCCCGGGTGGCGTAAATGTAGAGAACGGTAAAAAAGTTTTCTTCGATATTGAAACCTTAAAACATTGCAAAGGTATGAAAAGAGTACGTATAAAAATACTGAAGATCAGGATAGTGGTGGTATAATCTATTTGAAGAACCGAAACCTTTACAATTCTTTATAAATCCTGAGATGAATCCTCAAAATCCTCTTGCTATTCTGAATTAAAATTAATTATTTTGTTGTAATTCATAAATCTTGTATCACATGGAAAATAGCGTTAAATTTCTTTTACACACAAGCTACCAGACTTTTGCCCAAATTTATTAACTTTCCAGTCATAAGCACGTTTTCGAATGGATCCGAATAATCCAAATGGTATTCGACGTATTCTACAACCTGAAGGTCACAATAGCATTGCTAGATAATTTGGAAATAAAGTATGAGTAGTAATAACAAAATGGTCTGAAGAAAACTTCATAAAATTCGTTTTTCTTTTTGAAAAGAAAGATTGGAAAGAAAATGATTCATTAAAAACAGTCGCTACACCCGACCTCAGCGTTACATCCGAAGTCGCTACATGAATTTTATACTAAAGTATGGTTTAAATGCAAAGGACTTCGCTATAGTAAAATGGTCGCTATAACCAAGGTCGTAATAAATGAAATCTGCTGTAATTCGTGCATTTCATACACACTCGTCAACGATTACTAATGTTTGATAAAAGTAATATAAAAATTCCGCTTCAATACAACCCAAAGGGAAGACCACATTTCAAATGTAATACACGGAGAGAAAAATTTTATAATAATTACCATGCTGTCTCATAATCTAAGTGCCTTTGACTGATAATGGAAAAATTACCATGCTAGCACAGTAAAAATTCCTGTGCACTTATTAGTAATGTTTGTAAGATTCTCTTACAAAAATTATTTGACTAATACCTATTGAATGTTATCAATACCTGTCTTTTGTACTCACTTTATAGTGACGAGCATGGCTGTTTTTCTAAGACTTTTCCCACCGTATAGGCTGGTTAGGCTAAAAACTAAAATTTAAGAGATCGATTCAAACTTTTAGATTGTATAAGATAATATTAAAAGAATGTAGAGGACGAAAAATAGTTCGATTGTCTCATCTGTACGCTTTTATTCCCTAGCAAATGTCGTAAATAGATTGAAACAATATCGTATAAAGACTAGACCTTTATACCTGAGGTGTCCTACCAACCTATCTCGCTTATTTTTTATTGATTTTCATAGAGTCCTCTGTTCTCTTATTCTTTCTAATACCTCTTCACTTTTAACTTTCTCTACCCACCGCATCCACCGTCTATGTTTCGCACCCGTGCAGCGCTGTGCTCCAAATATACACCTTTAACAATCTTTCGAATTTCTAAATTAATCGTTTGAAAGCATTGAAAAGTCTTGAAAAGTCTTCTATCTTCACCTGAAGAAAGCACAGTGTGTCGAAATAATTATAGTGGTTATAATAAATTGTTTGTAAACTCCAAGTGTGTTTTATTTTATTTTTTCTATTTTCGTTTTGTTTAAGACCTACTACTCATACTCATCCCAAAATGATATCTATGTACTCTTGCATATCATCGGACAGTTATATGTATCTCCCTCGCGTTAATATGCAGGGAAATAACATAGAATAAATAAATAAATCATTTTTACATTTCAAGGTTCTACATTTATTTTGCATTATTTTAAGAAAATCAACGAAGAAATCTTTTTTTTTAATTCGCAAAATGGCAAATTAACAATAAATTACCATTAATATAACTAGATATAATATAAACAAAAAATATATCATAATCGAAACATAGTAAAACCTTAAATTCTTTTCTAGAAAAATTTATTTTGTAACATAGAGCCTTACAATTTCAACTAAGCGATTTAAACACCCCCTACCACTTATAAAAAAAAATAAAGATAAATGTTTGGATCTTTTAGAACAGTTAGAAATTAGGAAATCAAACACAAATTTTACCAATAAACAGCAAACATTCCTAAATACCCCTATAATAGACATCTGTATCAATAGCAACCCTACAATCTGTACAACAGTCTAATAAATACTTGGAATTCCCGTTTCAGTATCATTCTAAGTAAATTCATCTATTTAAATAAGTATTTTCTCGCAGATGTAGTAATTAAGTACTCTTTACAAGGCCTGAAAAGCCTAAACAATTGTACAGTAAAACTATAAATATATTTAAGCATTAAAAAGCAAGGTCACCTTAATTCTTTAATATTGAAGATATTATTCCACGAAGCACTTTCGTATAAGTTTTTATAAATATTTTTTCACGAATTCTTCGGGAAGATTTGTATCTAATTTAATTAAAGGGGTAGTACTGCTTTTTAAGGATCAAGTCTTTTATTTTCAAAAGCCTTGTATTGAAAAAATACAAAGGATAAAAAGTTTATTACATTATTTATAGCAAATAAATATAAGATATACAATTATTATAAGTAATAACACCTGTTACTATAATGTCACTAAAAACAATTTAATCGTATTATACTATGTAAGCACCTTAATACTGGTAAAAAATTAATAAACATTCATTTAAGGAGGTCGACACATAAAAAAATAACAGAGATTTCGATAAACTTAAAAATAGCAAGACATTAATATTATATTTAAGCAATTCTTGCAAATTTCATGATCATTAGGAGAATAGTTAAAGAGATATTACATAAACAAATTAACATGCACTCCTGAAGAATGCATAATTTTAAGATATGCTAGGAGTTTTCAAAGTGACGTGACAGAGACAATTTCATGAAAATATACTCATTCATTTAAAACATCTATAAATTTTCAGAATGTCTTTAAATTAAAGAATGATAATTCTGTAAAAAATGGTGTTCACTCATAACAAGCAAGTGCTAAGTGTGCGAATGTATATGAATATACCAAGCGTTTTCCCCGCACCACCTGCCCTGCTCTCTGTATTGTCAATGTCCTTAAATCACTCACATTTACTTGCTTAAAATAAGCAATTTATACATTCTTAAACAACAAAAATTTTAGAATATCTTTAAAGCTTTTAGAAAGTATTCATGTACTAAATAAGGACCAACAAGAGATGAAAGGGAAAACTAACTTTTCTTAAGTTCTACTACTATTATTGTAATTAATACACTAACAATGACTACAGCTATAATTACTAAAATACATAACTTCTTGTGAAATTTTCTTTGGTATCTCGATGCTTTAATCAATTCCTCCCTTCCTTCTTCAACATTTCCTACAGTATGGTCTATACAGTTTTCAATTGTGTCTAGAAAAAATATTCAAATTTGATGATAGGTATCCCTAAAAATTGAATTTCAATAGTAAAACTGAAATTAATACATTACCAATCGTCTCTCCTTGTTGATGCACAAGTACACTCAAGTCTTTCATTACTTGATTTACATCTAAAACATCTTCTTCTATTTGCCTTATTCTGGCCTCCCGTTCTATATACATATCTTGTTCAAAAGCTAATTCTCTAGATAATTGCAATTGCTTCTGCTGTTGACCCATGGCATCTGCAGGAGGACTTTCTATACTAGCAACTACCAACAAATTTGCCTTCATTTTGTCTGCCACATGCTGAAAAAAAATGGTTAATACAGTGGGAAACAAAATAAATCAACAATACCTTCTGAATGGAAGAATATTTAGCTACAGCCTCTTTAAAATTTTCCATCAGTTTCTCAAATTGCAATTTCTTTTGCTTTTCACTATTTTTTACTTTAGCCATAAGTTTCTGCAAATGTTTGCTGGTTTCTGATATTGTTTTATTTGTGCTCAACTGTGTGGTATGTCTAAAATTATCATTTGTTTAATATCCTAATTATTAAGTTTACGTGCTCACATTCTCTCTCGATGACTGTGACTGTCTTTGTGAGTTCCCAAACTCTTAAGGGCATTGTCCAAAGTCTTCCAACTAGAATTAATTGTATAAATATTAGTAACAACTTCATCTGACAGCCTGTTAAGTTCTTCGTTCTCAGTTCCTTCAAATCCCACTTCCGTATTTGGTGACATGGTGCCATAATTGTGCATTTTCTTGTTCATTTTTATTTTAATTTTCAATTGTTAAGATTCAGTACCACAAAAACTACGTAACGGTAATAAAGTAATTGTATGAGTCACATCTACATGAGGAAATTACAAAAAAACTTCAAATTTTCTCTATAGTATGAGACATTCGCTGTTTTAAAAAATAACTAATACGTTACAATGACTTCGCTTATCTAAATAATACTACAAATACAAAACTTGTTTTTATTTCATAATCTCAAACCTGTCCATAACCTGCCACAACTGTTCACACGGATTAATTCATAGATTAAATTAAACATAGAGCATAAATTCTGAATCATAGATAAGGTTGAGACTATTCACTAATATTACATGCCATACCATCTCATTACACTAATGAACTATAGAACTATACTTATAGTATGTATTATTATTCGTTTTATTTAAAGTTTTCGGTTACAGCAATTAATTATACACAAATCACATTATGAAATATAATTCCATTTGTGTATAATTTATTAGTCATTACACGGAACCTATGGACGAAACATGGACCTTACCTATGAGTTGTCTGACAGTATATATTTATTTAATCTATGGACTTGTGTATGTCTATAACAAGAACGAAGTTAACCATAGAAAGTAAGGAATATCTATGGGAATGTCTATGCAAACGAAAAATTATGTATCATATGATTATTGTGTTACTCTAAAACTAATTGTTTGTGGTAAATGTGTTAAAGGGTTAAAAGTAAAAATTACTTGTGATGAGAAATAGTTTCCGATTTTGATTGTACGGTAAGATTTTATGTAGGTTTCGATAAACCAATTCTTCTAATATTAGTAGCAAGTTATTGATTATCATCTATAAATAAAATATTTGTATTTTTTTTTCATATTTTTTTATTTCAATGTGTGATAATAATTCGAAGTAATTTATATTTGCTTTAGAAAAGCAAACAAGCTTGTAACTTATATTCACTCAAGTAACCTTTACAATTTTAATTTCCTAATAGGTATTGCCTATTTTTACAAAAAAGCTTTTTCAGAAAGAAGTCGTACTGTGGTTAACGAACACAAAAATCCTGATAACATACTTCCCAATGCAGGTAATTCTTGAATTCTTTTACTTTTTTTATTATATAAAAGGAAGTTGTATCTGCAAAATAAGCCTGAAATTCAGATTTACAAAAGCAAAAAATTAAGGATTAAAATTTTAGTGTATTATGTTTAATAAATTACATTTTTACTTTAATCATTACTTAAAATACATACAAGTTTCAGTACTGTTTCATTTCAGTTAATTTGGACAAAATTACTTAACTAGATAGGTATAATAATCTTCAATCCTCATAAAAATTTCTTCTACTATTCCACTTTCTTCATAACAACCAAACCAATCGTGATTGCTTTTTTAGATTTGAAGTCAGTCTTTTACATATTTTACAAGGATCATATCTCATAGAATAAACATTCGTTTTATTCACCACTTTGCCCTCTTACCCCAATCTTTAGGAGTCCAATGCAAACATTTAGGGTCAATTCTAACCAAACGCTTCTCCATTGCCCTGTGATGATTTTCCATCGTTTCTTTGTTCAAAGTTATTATGTATTGCCCTTTGTAGTAATTTATTAAATTCAAATTTTGAAGAGTTGAAATTACATCTTCTTTTTTTATACTTGTCATTTCACAAATTTCACTGAAATTAGTATTAGTCAAAACTTAAAAAATTATAAAAAAAATCAATAATTTTATAAAAATGTTTAAAAAATCAGCATGATTAAGAATAATTACAAACTACTTACTTAATAGTTATTTGAGGCTTTTCATTATCACCAACTGGTGGTAAAGTGGTAAGAATTTCGAGAATTGTGTGAGCCCAATAACTCCGATAAGACAGCAACCCCAAATCAGACAAAGGCTTTTCTGGTGATCCTGTTTTCCCTTCAAACTTTGATAATTCATAGCCTGTAGCAAATAATTTACTGTTACTAAAATCATACTGAAGAAGTAATTGTATTAACAAAGAATACACCATTTTTATCCCTTTTTCACTTACTGAACTCTATAAGAAGTTTTCCATATCCTTTTCTTTGATAGGGTGGCATTGTAAGAATACAAGCAACATTGTAATCTTGTGTTGATTCCTTTTCTTTTGAGAAGTAACCCACTATGTGAAATCCCCTATTATCAAATACTGTCATCACATAAAATAGAAATGGGTCAGTGTCATAATACAATGTTTTGTGGTCAAGAAACAATTTTGCAAGCAAACACAAATTCTGAGCATATCCTTTATTTTTGCGACCATCAATCTCAAAGAACGATATGTTGCCTTTTCGGTAAATTTCATTTCCTGGAGGATGACGTAAATTGCACTTGGCCAGGTGCCTTTCCAGACATTTTCGACTTTTGCAATATTTCAAACAAAACTCGCAAATATAGATACATGGAAGTCCTATCATTTCCTAAGATAAGAAACGATTTTATTATAAAATTTAAACTACACTTCGGATTGGTAATTTAATACAATGTTAACTCAGTACCTTAACGTCTCTTTCCAAGTTACAGTCATACATAAAGTGTGTCCCACTCCAGGGTACTTTCTCAATAAAAAACTGTAATAATATGTTATTTTAAAAACCAGTAGTTGAGCAATATTTTTGTAATAATAGCCGGATTTATGGGCTTTGACCAGGTGAAACCAATTAAAATTTAACAAAGTTCAAAATATCTCAAGTACAATCCATGATCAGTGAAAATAAATTCAGACAATAGTCAATATTGAAATCTACACTCACAATTAGTGATGTAAAAATAAATGTGTATGAAACAATATAAAACAGTCCTTTTAATATAAAAAATTCATTCATGTCATCTAGATGCAGTGATTAATTAGTTAATATTAGCTATTTCCTAAAGCATTAAAAAAACTTTGAAAAACAGTAAACTCAAGCCCGTGACAAGCCTTGATGATCTTTCTTTTCAAAAATGAATTGAGACTTAAAAAAATAGATAACATTCCATTTAAAACAATCATCTATATTTTGAAGAAAATTTAAAATATTCAGCAAATAAATTCATACTATTTTTACATTAAGTTACATCCATACTATTTTTATATGGAGTACAAAGTCTATACTGGTGGAGGACACCTATATATATGTTAATCTGAAATAGTTTTATAATACACCTAGTTAATGAAATATATCGAATTACCTGTGGATAAGGGGCAAAATACCAAGGTTTAATTCGATGACGTCCCAACTCAATCATTTCCACGTTTTTCATCCTAGTTACAACATCATCATTATGTGACACCATACTCCCTGACTGCCTTGGCCCCTGAGGAGGTTGCAATGCACCCTCTTGTGAATCTTCATTTTCTAGCGTAGGACCCTTCCTTTTTCTGTTTATACGTTTTTGGAGAGCTGCGGCTAAAACCGCATTGCCATTTACTAATTCATTGCTAAACACAGGACTGGAGGGCCTAGAAAAATACCATCGAATAGAAAATCACTCTCCAATGTGCTAGATATAGAATTTACTTACCTTGATATCGGCCCTCCTGCACCAATATGGATTTTTTTAGGTGTTGAAACACCTGTGTTACTTCCACCATCTCTCCTTGGAAAATGTACCTTTCGTGTATCCAAAGATTCTTCACCAACCCATTCATCCAAACGTTTATTGACTAATGGAATATGAATGAATTACACTAACAAATTTATCTAACCTATCTATCTAATACTTACAATCAACATAATGAACATAGTACAACTTTTTGCCATTTTCTTCTTTTAAGCTAACCAGTTCTGCTAGAGCTATCAACCAAACACTTGTAAGTTTTAAATAAATGAAATCTTAAAAAAACTTACGCCAGTCATCGGTTCCTGACATATGGACAGGAAGTCTACATCCCTCAATTAAGGATGACTATTAAAAACATAGTTTGGTCTTACGATAATACAGTTGAATAATAACTTACCACTGAATCGCACAAGGCAGAATCGTCAATTTCTTCCATTGTAACTTTCATCACATAACAATCTTTTTAAAACTTTCTCAAAAAACTCACACGTTTGCAAAAGAATTATTAAAAACTACTTTATAATGTAACTTTACTTTATAATGTAATGTATAATTTTTGTAGGTTGTTTTTATTTTGACTTACAGATTTGACGTTTGACTTATCTATGCGTTTGACCATAAATGCATGAAATGAAAGCACTTCCAATTTTCTTGGATTTCGTCAGAGAAGAGAGACGTCTCTCTTCTCTGATTTTGTAGATGTATTTATTAGTCACATTTATGCCTCTATTGTTTAGTACTGCAGTAGTAAATTTATTAATATTTCTTAAAAAATATTGATTCCGGATTTACTTAATTTTTTTAAATTTCATTAATAGAGATGTAAGGTCAATATATTTAAATTTATTATTTTTTAAAATATTAAAAATGATATATGTCCTGTTTATGATATAGTTCAATTTAAAAGGTTGTCCACTATCTATGGTTTGCTACACACAATTGTGGCTGTCAATTCTTCAATTTCAATT